GGGGTAGGCAGATGATGGTGCCAGTGGTGTACCATCAGTTAGAGCTCCACAGGAGTAGGCAGATGCTGGTGTCAGTGGTGCACCATTAGTTAGAGCTCTACAGGAGTAGGCAGGTGCTGGTGTCAGTGGTGTACCAGCAGTTAGAGCTCCACAGGAGTAGGCAGATGCAGGTGTCAGTGGTGTACCAGCAGTTAGAGCTCCACAGGAGTAGGCAGATGCTGGTGTCAGTGGTGTACCGGAAGTTAGAGCTCTACAGGAGCAGGCAGATGCTGGTGTCAGTGGTGTACCATCAGTTAGAGCTCTACAGTAGGCAGATGCTGGTGTCAGTGGTGTACCAGCAGTTAGAACTCCACTGGAGTAGGCAGATGCTGATGTTAGTGGTGTACCGGAAGTTAGAGCTCTACAGGAGCAGGCAGATGCTGGTGTCAGTGGTGTACCAGCAGTTAGAGCTCTACAGTAGGCAGATGCTGGTGTCAGTGGTGTACCAGCAGTTAGAGCGCTACAACAGGCAGATGCTGGTGTCAGTGGTGTACCATCAGTTAGAGCTCTACAGGAGCAGGCAGATGCTGGTGTCAATGGTGTACCATCAGTTAGAGCTCTACAGTAGGCAGATGCTGGTGTCAGTGGTGTACCGGAAGTTAGAGCTCTACAGGAGCAGGCAGATGCTGGTGTCAGTGGTGTACCATCAGTTAGAGCTCCACAGGAGTAGGCAGATGCTGGTGTCAGTGGTGTACCATCAGTTAGAGCTCTACAGTAGGCAGATGCTGGTGTCGGTGGTGCACCATTAGTTAGAGCTCTACAACAGGCAGATGCAGGTGTCAGTGGTGTACCAGCAGTTAGAGCGCTACAACAGGCAGATGCTGGTGTCAGTGGTGTACCATCAGTAAGAGCTCCACAGGGGTAGGCAGATGATGGTGCCAGTGGTGTACCATCAGTTAGAGCTCCACAGGAGTAGGCAGATGCTGGTGTCAGTGGTGCACCATTAGTTAGAGCTCTACAACAGACAGATGCTGGTGTCAGTGGTGTACCATCAGTTAGAGCTCTACAGTAGGCAGATGCTGGTGTCAGTGGTGTACCAGCAGTTTGAGCTCTACAGGAGCAGGCAGATGCTGGTGTCAGTGGTGCACCATTAGTTAGAGCTCCACAGGAGCAGGCAGATGCTGGTGTCAGTGGTGTACCATCAGTTAGAGCTCTACAGGAGCAGGCAGATGCTGGTGTCAGTGGTGTACCAGCAGTTAGAGCTCTACAGGAGCAGGCAGATGCTGGTGTCAGTGGTGTACCAGCAGTAAGAGCTCTACAGGAGTAGGCAGATGCTGGTGTCAGTGGTGTACCAGCAGTTAGAGCTCTACTGGAGCAGGCAGATGCTGGTGTCAGTGGTGTACCAGCAGTTAGAGCTCTACAGGAGTAGGCAGATGCTGGTGTCAGTGGTGTACCATCATTTAGAGCTCTACAACAGGCAGATGCTGGTGTCAGTGGTGTACCATCAGTTAGAGCTCTACAGTAGGCAGATGCTGGTGTCAGTGGTGTACCAGCAGTTAGAGCTCTACAGTAGGCAGATGCTGGTGTCAGTGGTGTACCAGCAGTTAGAGCTCTACAGGAGCAGGCAGATGCTGGTGTCAGTGGTGTACCAGCAGTAAGAGCTCTACAGGAGTAGGCAGATGCTGGTGTCAGTGGTGTACCAGCAGTTAGAGCTCTACAGGAGCAGGCAGATGCTGGTGTCAGTGGTGTACCAGCAGTTAGAGCTCTACAGGAGTAGGCAGATGCTGGTGTCAGTGGTGTACCATCATTTAGAGCTCTACAACAGGCAGATGCTGGTGTCAGTGGTGTACCATCAGTTAGAGCTCTACAGTAGGCAGATGCTGGTGTCAGTGGTGTACCATTAGTTAGAGCTCTACAGGAGCAGGCAGATGCTGGTGTCAGTGGTGTACCAGCAGTTAGAGCTCTACAACAGGCAGATACAGGTGTCAGTGGTGTACCATTAGTTAGAGCTCTACAGGAGCAGGTAGATGCTGGTGTCAGTGGTGTACCAGCAGTTAGAGCTCAACAACAGGCAGGTGCTGGTGTCAGTGGTGTACCATCATTTAGAGCTCTACAACAGGCAGATGCTGGTGTCAGTGGTGTACCATTAGTTAGAGCTCTACAGGAGCAGGTAGTTGCTGGTGTCAGTGGTGTACCAGAGGTAAGAGCTCTACAGGAGCAGGCAGATGCTGGTGTCAGTGGTGTACCAGAGGTAAGAGCTCTACAACAGGCAGATGCTGGTGTCAGTGGTGTACCATTAGTTAGAGCTCTACAAAAATGGTGTACCAGCAGTAAGAGCTCCACAGGAGCAGGCAGATGCTGGTGTCAGTGGTGTACCAGCAGTAAGAGCTCCACAGGAGTAGGCAGATGCTGGTGTCAGTGGTGTACCAGCAGTTAGAGCTCTACAACAGGCAGATGCTGGTGTCAGTGGTGTACCAGCAGTTAGAGCTCTACAGTAGGCAGATGCTGGTGTCAGTGGTGTACCAGCAGTAAGAGCTCCACAGGAGTAGGCAGATGCTGGTGTCAGTGGTGTACCAGCAGTTAGAGCTCTACATCAGGCAGATGCTGGTGTCAGTGGTGTACCATCATTTAGAGCTCTACATCAGGCAGATGCTGGTGTCAGTGGTGTACCATCATTTAGAGCTCTACAACAGACAGATGCCGGTGTCAGTGGTGTACCATCATTTAGAGCTCTACAACAGACAGATGCTGGTGTCAGTGGTGTACCATTAGTTAGAGCTCTACAGGAGCAGGTAGTTGCTGGTGTCAGTGGTGTACCAGAGGTAAGAGCTCTACAGGAGCAGGCAGATGCTGGTGTCAGTGGTGTACCAGAGGTAAGAGCTCTACAACAGGCAGATGCTGGTGTCAGTGGTGTACCATTAGTTAGAGCTCTACAAAAATGGTGTACCAGCAGTAAGAGCTCCACAGGAGCAGGCAGATGCTGGTGTCAGTGGTGTACCAGCAGTAAGAGCTCCACAGGAGTAGGCAGATGCTGGTGTCAGTGGTGTACCAGCAGTAAGAGCTCTACATCAGGCAGATGCTGGTGTCAGTGGTGTACCAGCAGTTAGAGCTCTACATCAGGCAGATGCTGGTGTCAGTGGTGTACCATCATTTAGAGCTCTACATCAGGCAGATGCTGGTGTCAGTGGTGTACCATCATTTAGAGCTCTACAACAGACAGATGCCGGTGTCAGTGGTGTACCATCATTTAGAGCTCTACAACAGACAGATGCCGGTGTCAGTGGTGTACCATCATTTAGAGCTCTACATCAGGCAGATGCTGGTGTCAGTGGTGTACCATCATTTAGAGCTCTATAGCAGGCAGGTGCTGGTGTCAGTGGTGTACCAACAGTTAGTGATGAAAGAAAGCAGATGTGGAAAAATACCAGAACTTTAATAGTGTTCATAATCAGAATGTGATTTAATTGGTCAGCTAGATACCTGAACTAACAACTCATTGGTCAACTAACATTGTCAACAACCTAGGCTGACTGACAATCATTATGTTGTTCCATCCCCTGGATCTCACACAGTCACTGTACTCAGTTATGAATATGTCAGCCAACTACCATCCTGTTCTCTGTTTTCAGTATGTTGTTTGGTCTGACAGCACAGACAATATTCATCGCTATCAAGGTTACATTACAGCAGACTGGGCTGGTCAGTATTCAAAATAAATTACAACAGGCGTATAGTCTATGAAGTCATATATATCCCCTGCCCATTTTAACACGACTCCGCGGTATGGTCCCAAACCATGTAACTGACCCAAGATTTCTCTTAGTCCATGTCAAAATAGCTGCAATGGAAATTCTAAAATAAACATTTCTAAAACTCTTTAATATCAAATGGCACCAGTTCAGTATGTTCTTTATATGTAGACATGCAATGTTTGGCAAGGAAATATTTAACAGTTTATTTGTTATACTCTATAAGTGAACCCACCCTATATTAAAACTTAAATCCAACTTGTTGTCATGGAAACATAAACAAACAAAAATTCTAAAAGTGCAAAATATCAAAAGGTACCAGTTAAGTATGTGACCTGGTAGACATGTAAAGTTTTGTAAGAAAGTATTAAACAGTTTTTGAGTTACACTCCGGAAACAAACACCACCCTCATAAAACCTAAGTCCAACTTGTTGCCATGGCAAACGTAAAAAATAAACTTTTCTAAAGTTCCTAAATTGCAAAAGGCACCAGTTCAGTATGTGTCAGGTAAACATGCAAAGTTTTTTTAAAAAGTATTGAATGGGTTTTGAGTTATGCCCCGGAAACGATTTCGGGACGCACGCACACACGCACACACGCACACACGCACACAGGCACGCACGGACAGACGGACAGATCCATTTCAATATCCTCCACCAACTTTGTTGGGCAGGCGTTATAAAACATGAGGAAATGTTTATTTCTAACCACTTGCATGTTCTAAATGCATTAAAAATCTCGTGTGATACAACAAGTTCAATATGCTTGTTCTATTGTAAAATAAAGTCATTAGTGAGAATGGTTTTATGCCACTTTTAGCAATAGTCCAGCAATATCATGGCGGGGGACACCAGAAATGGGCTTCACACATCTTACTCATAAGAGGAATTGAACCTGGGTCTGTGGGGTGCCAAGCAAATGCTTTAACCACTAGGCTATCCTACCACCCCTTTTTCGATCAGATATGCATTACATTTTATTATAATAAGAAGAGATGAGGTCCGGAGCAATTAACTTTTGAAGTTGTATTTTATTTGATTGAGAAAAAAATCAAATACAAACAAAACATCTGCCGCGCCTTTACATTCTGTCTGCTTGACATTTCACAGTTTGAATGAGTGAGTGAGTTGGGTTTAACGCCGCTTTTAACAGTATTCAAGTTATATCACGGCAAGTCAGCTTGATGTGGGAGGAAAGCCTGAAGTGATGCAGGTCTCAGACGTTTACCACTTTGGTGAAACCCACAAGCACAGGCATGGTGCTGACAAACCTAGAAACATAATCGGGGCGAACCTGGATTCGGATCACAATCATAGGTTTCTTGCATGCTCAAGGGACGCAACTCTGCACAGCCAATCATGGCGCCTTAGACAACTGGGTCACCCGTGCCCCCTCACAGTTTAACAAGTCAATCTCTTTATATAACCTGTTAAAGATTTCCTTACACACTTTCACAAAAATGTTTCCTGATCAAATCACCATGGTAACATGAGTAAAAAAAATCAAGTCAACGAATCAGGATCCAATCAACTGATTGAATCAGACACATGTTGCAGTGCAACATGTTGACACAAGTCCTCATCGAAGGCAACCTGCCCGTTGTAGAAATGGGCTCCCTCGGTATCATGCCACCTGTCTGTGGAGAACTCGGGGAAGAAGAAATTGATCTCGCGAGCGGCAGTTTCAGGGGAGTCTGAAGCAGAAGTGGCAGAGGTAAAACACAAGGTCAAGTCAACGTGTCTTCTCCCTACATAGAAAACAAGGGCTCATGGCACTGTTACTGTTACACAATTGAGTGAGTGAGTTGGGTTTAACGCTGCTTTTAACATTATTCCAGTTATATTGCGGCGTGTCAGCTTAATGTGGGAGGAAAGCCCGAATTGATGCAGGTCTCAGACATTTACCACTTTGGTGAAACCCACAAGCACGGGTATGTTGCTGACAAACCTAGAAACATAATTGCAGCGAGCCGGGATTCGAACCCACAATCATAGGTTTCTGGCATGCCCAAGGGACGCAACTCTGCACAGCGAATCGCGGCGCCTTAGACGACTTGGCCACCCGTGCCCCCGTTACACAATTGAAGTGAAGTGGGAGTTGTATGTAGTCACTCAGTATCCAACTATAACCAACGAGCTAAGCAAAACAGATTATGAGATTGATAAAATCCACAAGCTGGTGAGACCTTTCAGGATTTTATGAATGCTTCAATAAAATGGAACAAGAAGGTTATAAGCAGATAAAAATGATGAAGTTCAGCATCATCATATTCAGATTCATTTACTGGGTAATGATCAAACAATGCCTAAAGAGCCTTCTCTCATCAAGCTGAATCTTCAAAGATACATCTATCTGACTTGGTTCAAACTTCAACCAGCATTACATCATGTACCAATCATGTAAACTGTCAGACAAGTTCCATTTGCAAACTAATGATAGTTACAGAAACAATACTACAACCCATAACACTTCACTTCATCGCCTTGGATACAGATACTAGAGGTGAAGTGATCTGGTGTTGTCATTATACGAGGGCACTGTGAACGTTATACTATTTATAGCCAACTATTTATCACTAAGAAAATTCACAATTCTTCAAAAGCCCACTTCCAATTTTGACCTTCCATTAAATAATATTTCTTGTTGGCAGAATGGCTTGTTTTCACTAAATAAGTATAAGCACACATGTAGCGATCGTTGTTAAAAAATAATTGTGATATTTTGTGATACTATTTCAAGTGGCGAGGACAATATTTCTGTATTGTTCCACCAACAGATACAGCTAGTTTCTGCCATAGAACCCGTCTCTCATCATCATCATCATCATCATGACGGCACCTCTAGTCCTAACATCTCATACTGACACTCTCACAGTACCTGTCTCTCATCATCATCATCATCATCATCATCATCATGACGGCACCTCTAGATCTAACACTACATCCTGACATTCTCACCAGATCCATGTGTGCAGTTACGAGTATCTGTCAGTCCAAACCGACCGCGGATTGTTTCTGGAGCTTCGTGGATTGTCCTGAAACATAAATATAAACTAGGGGTGAAATGATACATCGGAGCACCAGTGCATCGTGAGTTTTCATGCAACGATACATCGGAGCACCACTGCATGGTGAGTTTTCATGCAACGATACATCGGAGCACCAGTGCATGGTGAGTTTTCATGCAACGATACATCGGAACACCAGTGCATCGTGAGTTTTCATGCAACGATACATCGGAGCACCAGTGCATCGTGAGTTTTCATGCAATGATACATCGGAGCACCAGTGCATCGTGAGTTTTCATGCAACGATACATCGGAGCACCAGTGCATCGTGAGTTTTCATGCAACGATACATCGGAGCACCAGTGCATCGTGAGTTTTCATGCAACGATACATCGGAGCACCAGTGCATCGTGAGTTTTCATGCAACGATACATCGGAGCACCAGTGCATCGTGAGTTTTCATGCAACAATACATCGGAGCACCAGTGCATCGTGAGTTTTCATGCAACAATACATTTTGTATCGATCCCATCTTAACCTTGCTGTATGGTTTCACCCCAAACAAAAACAAATGACACATTGACGATGCTCCAGCACCATAGCCCCTGCTTCTTTTAGGGATGCAACTGTTAATACAACATCCTTATTCTGACTGCATGTCAAATATCAAGATGCATGCAGTTCAGAAATAGCTGATTAGTGGACAAATATGACATATCTAATATGGTCTTTGTGCAACCCAGTAGCCAATGTTCAATTCCAAGATCTGAGGGTAGTTCCAATGGTACTACAGTGATCCCTCGCTACAACACTACCTTGGGGGACCATATAATTGATGAGCATTATAGACAATCAGCAGTTTAGTTTGTCTCCAGGCACCAATAGTGGTAATCCAATCGTGTAGCTGTATAGAAAGGTGAGCTGTGCGATCTACCGATCCCTTCACACATAATTTCGTTGAAATTAATGTAAGTAATAATGAATGGAATATTGAATAAAACTAATAAAATATGTTACAAACATTAGTCCAGATATACAACGAACATGTTTTTTATAACCATATAGTGTAATAATACTCACATAATATGTAATATGCTCACAGTGATCAGCTGGTAATGTTTTTTGGCAATGGGGAAAAGTCATTGTGTCAGTGCAAAACTTGAGTTTATTAAAATTGTACATAAATTTTGGGAGCTTTGCGTTACCCCGTGCTATAACTGAGTTAGCTCTATATTGAAAGGCGCAACAGCAAGGGTACACTGTACTACAATAGGAAAGCTATACTGGTCATACAAGGCAACTAAATGGTTCAGGTGGTCATGCTCGTTGACGTGGTTGATGCATGTCATTGTACCCTGACAGAGTGGATTGTTGCTCATGATATCAATCCCTGGGTTGTCTGCTCCAGACTCAATTACTTACAGGCCACCATATATATCTGGAATATTGCTGATGCTGCATTAAACAACAAACAAACATTACTGATTCTGTCCAATGCCATTACTTCACAATCTCATTAAAATCAGATCTTAGTTCTCGCTACAGCTAAACAAAGATCTGAGGACATCCCATTAGTGTTCACGTCAGAACGACCTTTCATCCGACCAATCACAGCGTCGCTTACAGTCGGAATGTGATTTCTAATCATGCAGCCTCGAAATCTTTAAAACGGGGGATTCTGAACAATAGTTACAGGCTTAACGACTGAATCTATACAAACTAGACCATATATTAGCCATTCAAGAATGTTCTTTTGTTCAGGTTTCAAATTTTTAAGCGAGAATTTGTCAAAATATGTTTCGAAAGCCTAGTCGCAAATTTGAAATTAGTGCCGTAAAGCACGAGAAAGCTGTCTTCTGATTGGCTAATATCAACTTCTTGTCAGTAATTCCATTGGTCGGTCAGAGTTCGCGATAGGTCGGTCAGACGTGACCCATAATGGGATGTCCTCAGATCTTTGTTTAGCCGCAGCGAGAACTAAGATCTGATTTTAATGAGATTGGACGACATGTGAGCGACATCCAAACAACAAACAAACATTACTGATGCTGTCCAATGCCATTACTTCAAAACTTTAGTTGGGCCCATGATCCTCCTCCACTCCGGAATGGCATTTTCTCTGGCCAGTATGTGTGTCCATATAGGCCCACTGCAAGAAAGCAGACATAGTCACCAGAGCTCCAGATAAGCTGCGTATCTGCGTGAAATACGCATCAGAAATGCAGAAATACGCAGTAAAATAAAATCCAAGCGTATCAAATACGCAACAGACATTACAGATACGCTACAAAAATAAAACTTGTGCGTATCATCAAAATATTGTGAAGTAACCCTGCGTATTCGATTAGCAAATCAGCAACTTATTTTGAAATTATAAACGGGCATTCCGTCAACCTTGCCAAACTCCACGATGACAGTTACATCAGATCATTTGCCATCACACTTTCTTGTGGAAGTATCGTGGTATTTTTGAGTCCTATAAAGCTCTCAAACCCACACGACACCAGTTTGCAGGGACTAGATGAATAGTGTTTTTAAATATTCAACTTAAATACCCACATGTGTAAAAACTAGTGGGTAACAGAAATTTGAATACCCAGATAGAATTACTGATACCCAATGATTTTAAAATGCAAGGGTAAAATGCCCATAACACCAAAAGCTTATCTGGAGCACTGGTCACATTGACATTATCAGTATTAATTATCTTTTTTCTCTTTTTCTTGTGAAAGGTTACTTAATATGATGGTGATTCAACTCATTTTGTCAAAAATGCAAACTTCACAAAGCATATCAGTGAGTTGAGATTTTTTTTAATTTTTTTATAAACCTTTGGTGACATGTATGTATTACTAAGAATGAGTTGCTAGCAGCTCTTAAAAGATCCAAGAATAACAAAAGTCCAGGGTCAGATGGTTTTTCATATGAATTTTTCAAAATGTTTTGGCTTGATCTGGGCGACTTCATACTTAGAACAATTAATTATAGCTATGAAACTGGAAACTTGTCAATCACCCAGAAGCAAGGCATCATCACATGTATCCCCCAAAAAAGATAAACCGAGACAACTCATAAAAAATTGGATCCTGATTACCCTGTTAAACTCCATATATAAACTTTTATCTTCTGTGATTGCAGATAGATTTAAAAAAGTATTGCCTCAGATAATCAGTGAAGACCAAACTGGTTTCATGTCTGGAAGATATATCGGAGACAACATCCGCCTGATATATGATCTACTCTTATACACAGAATCTAAACAAATGCCAGGTATGCTACTTCTAGTTGATTTTGAGAAAGCATTTGACTCTGTCTCCTGGTCTTTCATCTTTAAAACCCTGACATTTTTTGGATTTGGCAAAAGTATTTCTAAATGGATATCTATACTCTATAAAGATATCAGGTCTAGCCTAATTATAAATGGAAATATGTCACCTTGGATACCAGTCGGCCGTGGCTGTAGGTAGGGGGATCCATTATCTCCTTATATTTTTCTGCTTTGTGCAGAAATTCTCGCAATTCTTATGAAAAAAAATAAAGATATTCAGGGCTTAACTATAAACGGTAAAGATTATTTAATTGCGCAATATGCAGATGATATAGAATTTCTTTTGGACGGTTCTAAGAGATCCTTCGAGGCTACCATAGACAATCTTGATACCTTTGCAAATATCTCCGGATTAAGAATAAATTTTGATAAAACTCAAATAATCTGGATAGGCTCCAAGAAGAATAGTTATATCAAATTTAGACAAGACTTAAACCTTGAATGGAACCCTGAAACCTTTAGAATTCTAGGCACAATTTTTTCTACTAATCGGGATAAAATGATAAAACTTAACTTTGAAAGCAAAATCTTTGAAATTGAACAAACCATCAAGAGATGGATGAAAAGAATTATAACCCCATTAGGCAAAATTGCAATTATCAAATCAATGCTCATTTCAAAACTTAATTTCCTTTTCCTTACCCTTCCTAGTCCCCCAGATGAATTCCTTAGAAAGATAAATACTATTCTTTTCAAGTTTTTATGGGATAATAAACCAGACAAAATAAAGAGAACAGTTGCTTGTAAACCTATTTCCCTTGGAGGACTTGGTATGATAGATATTTTTTGCATATGTTGACGCTGTGAAAATAATCTGGATAAAAAAGTTACAAAATGTTGATTTGGAAAAGAAATGGAAAATTTTAATGACTAATACTACTCCTGAATTTCCTGATTTACTATTTATGGGAAGTGATTTTCCACTTAAGCTTGCTAAAAAAAACAAAAAACAATTTTGGAAAGATTGTTTTACTGCCTTTTCTAAATATAGCAATAAAATAAAACCCAATAATTATGAAGAGTTCCTAAGGGTACCTCTGCTATACAATAAAAATATTATTATAAATGGCAAATCATTAGATAACAAAACCTTTCATCTCAATAATATACACAGCATACATTGCTTGCTAAACAATGATGGAAATTTTATGAAATTTGAAACAATTCTGTAATCAATACTTCAATATAAATTTTCTTAAATTTTATGGTATTACAAGATCAGTAAATACATACATGATACAATTAGGCATTAATAAAGACCTGCATCTGGAAACAACAAACAATACAAATATATCTATTGCCAATCTCTTTTCACGTAAAAAAGGCTCAAAGAAATATTACTATGTAATAAGTCAAACCGATGAAAGCTTAAAAGTTATTGACAAGTGGGAAGAGGAACTTTTAATGGATATGAACTGGCCTAGCTTATTTATCAGAGCACACAAAACTACTCCAGACCCTAAACTTAGATGGTTTCAGCTTAGATTGCTCCATAGAATTCTACCTGTTAATACTTATTTACTCAAGATGCATATTGTTGACAACTGTCTATGTACTTTCTGTAATGCTGAGCCAGAATCTATCCAACATCTGTTTTGGGACTGTAGGCTAAGCAAAAATTTCTGGAAAAGATTTTCACAATGGATTGAATCCAAGTGTCCACATACTGGCAAGATAAATCTTACTTCAGATCTAATTCTTTTTGGCTTTTCAAAACATTTCCACACCGATGATATTTTTTATCTGATACTCTTATTGGCCAAATTTCACATTTATAGATGCAAAATGAAAAATAACCAACCAACCATTACACATTTCCAAAATGAGCTTAAATATTATTACCAAATAGAAAAATATAGACACTTTAATAAAGCCAAACAGACTGCATTCTATACGAAATGGGCTCCTTATGAAAACCTTTTGAAAATATGAACATTTGCTATTCCAAAACTTTACTAAATATATATCCTGCATTCTGTCTTCATAAATACTAAAGCTTCTAGTGAGTGTGAATGTGTGTATGGATGTGTGTGAATGATATGTACTTTCTTAAAAAACCATGGTCATGTATTTTGACTCCTATCAAAACACGATGTACTTTTACCAGGAACAATAAAAAAAAAAAAATTTTAAATTATTTAAAAATCAAAAAACAACCTTTGGTGACATAACACTACTGTGTGAGTAGGTTCTTTACAATGTTGATAAACTGGGAATGTACTCATTAACCAGAAAACCCTGGGCATTCGGAAGGAAATGCCCCTGCTTTAAAAATGTCCCCACTAACCTTATAAACTGGCATTTTGATATGAATCTAGCATTGTTTTTTTATTGGATAACAGTCACAATTGTTTTCACATGAAAATTCCGTGACATGAATCAAACATGCAATCTCACAATTCATGTTTAGTTTTGTAACCCACTGTTTTCCAACTGAGCCAACAGGACAGGTGATAAAAGGGTGTTCAGTCTTACATGTCATGACTTCAGTTGTGTGCAGCATGTGTGCATGTGCATGCTGCACATGGTCTTTCTCTTGCACGCTTTCATTGATTCCTTTTATACTGTATGCACTGTATTGTTTCACTATAAGGTATCCTGATGTCTACTTATTCTTTCTGGTATATTTGCATTCAGACGACTTATAAGATGGATAGAAACCGATTCCGAGATCTTGACTGATAATGTAAGTCTGGGGCAGCAGGATACTGGGGAGGGACAATCTTTACTTTAGCACTACTGTCTCTGAACCACCAGGGCATCCGTCAAAATTCACCCTGGTGGTCTGCTAGCCAGAGACTACACAATTTTGCTGAGGACAAACAAAAATTCAACGATGGTAGTCCTCATAGACAAGTAGCATTTGGGGGTTTCAGTACTGAACCATCTCAATTCTTCAATTTTGATACAAATTGGAACTGAATAAAACTTAGAGAAAATGTAAACATAGAAAACACTTTTGTATTGTTCAAGCAGAACTGGCTACAAACTCTGACAACCAGTGAAATAAGGTTAACACTAGTCCTTTGGACTAATCACATTAAAAGATCATATTAATGCGCATCAGACCATTACATGATTGAACTTACAAGGGTTTCACCATTACACAATTGAACTTACAAGGATTCTACCATTACACGACTGAACTTACGATGGTTCTACCATTACACGACTGAACTTACGATGGTTCTACCATTACACGACGGAACTTACGATGGTTCTACCATTACACGACTGAACTTATGAGGGTTCTAACATTACACGAATAAATGTATGAGGGTTCTACTATTACACGACTGAACTTACGATGGTTCTACCATTACACGACTGAACTTATGAGGGTTCTACTATTACACGACTGAACTTACGATGGTTCTACCATTACACGACTGAACTTATGAGGGTTCTACCATTACATGACTGAACTTACGATGGTTCTACCATTACACGACTGAACTTACAATGGTTCTACCATTACACGACTGAACTTACGATGGTTCTACCATTACACGACTGAACTTATGTGGGTTCTACTATTACATGACTGAACTAACAATGATTCTACCATTACACGACTGAGCTTACGATGGTTCTACCATTACACGACTGAACTTACAATGGTTCTACCATTACACGACTGAACTTAAGATGGTTCTACCATTACACAACTGAACTTATGAGGGTTCTACTATTACACGACTGAACTAACAATGATTCTACCATTACACGACTGAGCTTACGATGGTTCTACCATTACACGACTGAACTTATGAGGGTTCTACTATTACAAGACTGAACTTACGATGGTTCTACCATTACACGACTGAACTTATGAGGGTTCTACTATTACAAGACTGAACTTACGATGGTTCGACCATTACACGACTGAACTTATGAGGGTTCTACTATTACACGACTGAACTTACGATGGTTCTACCATTACACGACTGAACTTATGAGGGTTCTACTATTACACGACTGAACTTACGATGGTTCTACCATTACATGACTGAACTTATGAGGGTTCTACTATTACACGACTGAACTGACGATGGTTCTACCATTACTTATGAGGGTTCTACACAACTGAACTGACAATTGTTCTGAAATTATATGATTGAGCTTACGAGGATTCTACTATTACATAACAGAACTTACTAGGTCTTTACCATAAGACATTTGAACTTACAAGTGTTCTACCATTTCATGACTGAACTTACAAGGGTTCTACCATTACACAAATGAACTTACGACGGTTCTACCATTACACAAATGAACTTACGACGGTTCAAACATTACACAAACAACTGACTGAACGTATAAGGGTTTTACTTTTACATGACTGAACTTACGAGGGTTCTACCATCACACGATTCTAGTTTTCTGGTTTCAAATGGTGATAAATAAAAGGGTCAAGACTTTAACAAAACTACTTAAACATCCGTTTTGTTCATAGCTTCAGGATCAGATTTGAACAGTGATATTCAGTTTTATGGCCTGTTTTTGTTTTTATGTATCCTGAACATGGAAGAAAATATCTTTAATCTACATTCTTTCTGATGTTTATAATGTTCATAGGCACAAAGATTTCTGTGTAACATGTTATTTCTGCAAACACCCAAATTTATTTAATGATGCATTTAATGAATTCAACAATCAAAACAGTACATACAGCATTTTGCCATTTCTTTTTTCTAAATAATTACCTGCTCATGAAGGACACAAGACGGTTGAGAAAGAACTTTCCTGCAACACAAGATCCAAATTTTTGAAACATTTACATAAAATATGCACATAAACATGATCATGATGGTCAATACAGTCTGTGACAAATCGTTTTTAACATTATTTTCAGTAGAATGCCTCCGTGGTCTTGTGGTAGAGCATCCACCTGGAGAGCAGAAGGTCGGGGGTTCGATTCCCGGCCGAGTCATACCAAAAGACGTTAAAGATGGTACTTGTTGTTACCCTGTCTGGCGCTCGGCATTAAGGGGCTAAAACAAGGACTGGTCGGCTCGGAGTCAGTATACTGTGTCTGAGTGGGGTATTTATGTTAAACTGCGGCATGATATCTCAGTGAGCTAGCACTATAAATCGGCATCAGTCCGGACTAGTAAAAGTAGCCACACAAACACACACATACATGCACGTCACTATATAAGTGCAATAATCTTGGACGCGATGTTAAACCCAATTTCACCTCACCTGACCTTATTTTCATTAGATCTTAGTGTTACTATATGAATATGATTATGATTATTAGCTGGGATTTCTGGATTGATGAAAGGTTTACTACACTAAGACTTAAGATCAGTAGCCAGAGTTGAAGACTGCAAATGCTTTTTTATTATTTTGTGTGCATCATTAAAATCAGTGGTAGAAACTGGCACTGGTCCTATAGTCCTTGTAAAACTGCCCAATAGTTAAGGTATCATAAGGACTAGTAGAATTTGGCCCTTTTTGAGGTTTTTGCTATTTGTTATCATCATAAGGACTAGTGGACTAAAATTGTTAGTTTCTAATATGAGTGAGAGTCAGAAGCTTCTAAATGGAGTAAAAAACCTCACTCCTAATCAAACTTGGATCAGACAACCTAGTGGTAAATAGCATGAGCACCAGTCCTGGGGTACAGTGAGTGAGTGAGTTTGGTTTTACGCCGCTTTTAGCAATATTCCAGCAATATCACGGCGGGGGACACCAGAAATGGGCTTCACACATTGTACCCATGTCAGGAATCGAACCCGGGTCTTCGGCGTGACGAGCGAACGCTTTAACCACTAGGCTACCCGACCGCCCCTCCTGGGGTACACTAATACACAGCCCTATCCATATCAAGTTGGTCTTCCTAGTGTCACCTTCCCAAGTACTATCTACTTTCATAGGCCATTGTGACCAACCAATTCACATATATGTAACCATGTTACAACACGAATGAGCTATTGGAGGCCCACCTTTTCTGATCAGGTTTTCCACAAGTGGTTGAGGTAGTGAAAGTTGTTTAGCATTGCAGTCAGCCATATTTCAACCAAATAATCCACTGCAATTTGGTCACAATGATAACCGCTCGACCAAGGCACAGACCCTGACCACAACAATATAGTCATGTCTTATACTGTCTTATGACATGGAACAGAGCGCTTGGATCTATTCTAACCCAGGTCTCAACAGGAAGAGGTGTCACCGTTATGAATCTTCTTTGTTTGAGTAATAAGGTATATACTTGCCCTCATGCTCCTTGTAAAATTCATTTGCTCTTGTTGGCGATAAGATCAGCTTCTTTGATCTCACAAAGAAAAATTCTTGCTGCAGGATTATAGAGCGGATTTCCTACAAACAAAAAAACATCACATAACAATCATTTTTTTCTCATTTGCAAATAATCATTATCAGTGTGTTGTTTTTCAAAAATCTTGTTTTGGGTAAGTTGAGGGTGTTCATCTCTCTGAACAGTACTTTATTTACTATCACAGCATGTGGATGGTAATCAACCCGAATGTATCTGGGTTTTCAAACCTATCTGGATGATCTGGTCCAAGGGGCACAACTCTTCACAGCAAGTTGAAGCAACTTCAATCCCTGAGCCAATTATTTCCCTTTGATGGTTAGAGCAGTGGCTATATATTACCGTAATCGACACAATAAGCGCCCAGGGCGCTCTCAAAATTAGAAATAGGGGGCTCTTATTAGAATATTATTTTGGTGAAAAAACAGAGTTGAAAGATAAATTAATAATAAACAAAGTTAAGTCACTAACATGCACTCTTTCTGTGTGTTTTAGATCGTCTGTGCCTTAAGTGGTACTAATGGGGTAAAATCAGCCGATCTACCTTCAGAATGTTAGGGTGAGCGACAACATCGGGTTTCAGAATAGCTAGTGTGAGCTCAAGTTTTCTTAGGCCGCGCATCATACGTTACTGTGGATATTATCACAGACTTATAAGTTTTGTCCTCAAATGGCATCAGAAGATGTTGTTGTCAGAAGAATACTGTCATCGCCTTTTCTACCTATTCACTGATCGTAAACCCTCTTTACAGACTACTCGCGTGAAACCCGGAAGTAGTATTCTCGCTGTTTCCCTGCAAGAACTACTTTCGTGGTTTCAGGCAGAATAATCCGCGATACTGTATTAGCATTGTCAACTTTGCAATTATTGATTTTGAACGATATTCCTAATTTGTTTTAGTTGCCTTATTATGCATGTTTTTGAAAACGTTATCATTGCTAGAATTGTCCTCTTGGACAGAACTATAGTTTTCCACGGTTTAACATCCGGCGGTGTTGTTTGGCCTCCCCATGTTTACCTTTCACAAATGACAGTTTCTTGTAATATTTTTCTGTAAAGTCAACAGCACGAGCATATTTCCACATGTACCGGTACCAGGTTACTCTTTCCATCGCATTAGTGTTGTTATACTGTGTGACAGAAACATCGAGTGAAAATAGAAAGGGACAATCACCCTGTGATCAGCTACTGTTGGGACAGTATCCTTTTTTCGAGGTTGCGACTGGACATTGGCGGTACTATTATAGACCAAGAAGTAATTTCCTAATCAGTGTGTAAATATGATACACAACAACAGAGCAGTGTGCAGCGCATCTACATCACTTACATTCGGTGGAGCCAGGAATTATCATAGATCCGTGGTAGAGCAATATTGTTCATTGAGATCAGTGGAGCGTTAATCAATTACTAGTACATGCCTAAAGACTTGTATCAAACTGACATACAGTTTTCATATAAGGAACCTGTTAAATGATCAACTAAAGTACACAATAATGGTTAAACAAAGTTCAGAATCTCATGTTTTTGGTCATGAGGCAGTGCTTGTCTACTGGACCCCCCGAGCTGCTTAAAGGGGCACTGATCTAACGCTATTCCCCGGACTGGTTGTTGCCTTTGTTATTGTTTTTCCCCCGTGAGTACCCAGTAGATACGCAACGCAACTGAGCATGACCAGAGACTGGGCTACCGTCTGCAAGGACAGCTAAATAAACTTGGAGGCTGGAGGCAATATTTGTTTTACGCATTTTTGCATAAACACTGATTGGTTAACCGTAATCTATAAAGATTTCGACAAAGGGCACATGTTAATTAATTTCTTCAACCTAAACAAACAGACAAAAAGAACGGCGGAGCTAATCGGATGTCGTCATTTGGAAATACTCCAGGTGGTTATAGTTTAATACTAAAAAAAGTATCCATGCAGTAAAAGCATTTTCGGATTTCGGATTGCGTGGATAATACGATTGCTACTCCCTTGTTGTCATCCACGTTTTCTCGTATAACCCTACACTTGTGTATTTGTCGTCATTCACTTGATGCTCAGTTAATGAATTTATTACAGGTACAATTAGTGGTAGCACCACTTAGATTACCTGACAAAGGTTCCCATTTGGCAATAATTGTGTCTGGGGTAATTATTCAATCTAAATCCAGGTTTGAAGTGAGGTGAAATGTGTCTTATGTAATATGCACGTGGCAGACCAGCAAGAGGTGAATGATCAGTTGATTTACTTTTTTGTGTAAATCAACGGATCGTTCCTAGTCATCAAAGGATTGACAGAAAATACGTTGATTGATTAATCACTGTTATCTTGCACAGTGGATGTGTCAAAAGTGAGTGTTTACATGTCTAGGTTTACTAAAACAAAGGGAATACACTCATATCATGGCTTGAAGTGCCGATGTAAAAACAACATACTTTGTTCAAAGGGTTAACTGATAATACGTTGATTGATTGATCATTGTTATCTATCACTCAATGGATTTTTTAGGAACTGTGGACGTTATGAAAAGAGTTGTCACGTGGGCTTTCTCAGCTGACCCTTGAGACTTGACACCTATGTGAAACACCTGAAACAATCCAAGTGATCAGTTGAGAAACGAACACGGGTTAAAATATCCCGAAACGATATATATCTTTTAAAATATGTGATTGTTACAGAGACACATGACATCGAATAAGTTTCATTGTACAGCTGCAGACGAGTGGGATATTGTTCCTTTGTGTGGATAATCACGGATACATTCCTCGAACAAGGAAGCTGCCTAAAATTTATACACATAAATTTGGTAGGTTGTAATTATGGTATTTGCATTTTGTTTTCCTTCATTTGCTGTAGCAATTCGATTCGTCCTTGTTTCTCTACGTCTTGGTTGGGAAATTCTTCAATGCGTGATAGACGTTGTTTTCACAGGCCTTTTCCTTTGTAAGCGTGTATATATTACCGTCAATTTGTAAAACGTGATTCTCTCAGGCAATTTTTAAAATGTGTAAATATTTCAGTCATTTTGACTAAAAATTCTGTCCAGATTGATTAAGACGATCAACATGATCAAAAGGGCCTACAAACATCACAACAGATTATTATGTAGGATTAGAAGCCAAACAACATAGAAATGTACTTTTCAACGTAACATTTTCAGTCTCTTGGTGATGACATTAAACATCAAAATGTTTGGAATTCGTTATCATAATAGTACAGATGGAAATGTTTTTCAGTCACTTTGTAAAATAACTGAATATTTAGGCGTTTAATAAATTTGAAAATGTTACACATTTTGACAGTAAAAAAATATACACACTATAAAAAACCAATGCTCAGGTGAAACATTTACTTTGTGTTGCAAGTCAAAATAGTGTAAACGAAAATCGCAAAATTACCAAGCAAGTGACTTATCAAAACTTCGTCACCATTACCGATGCACAAAGATACCTACATTTCCTTATTATCTCGAAAACTGTATTTCATTTTGTTGATCAATGTGATCATACGACCTTATTACTACCCATACAAGTGACTAATGCGCTTACGAATGGCGCAGCAGAGGTCGCGAACTAGTCTAGATTTCTGCTATACATCCGGGTACTCACTGGGAAAAAACAATAACAAAGGCAACAACCAGTCCTGGGGAATTGCGTTAGATCTGTGTCCCTTTAACATATGCATTTCAAACCATGGATCAAGGTGTTTAATATGTGCCACACACACATGTGATGTGTAGTGCCTAGTTATTGCTGAATTAAGATTTGTGTGCATATGGTGTTATGAACTGTTGTAAATTAATGTGACTCAATACTTGAGTTTGTCGTCTTTATTTTCTGTGTGGCCGTTATGACGTTTTTGTTGTGGCTGTGTGGACTTTTTTTGTGTCCGTTTTGACAATGGGTTTTGGACGTTAAGACCTTTTGCTGTGGCCGCTGTGACTTTACCTTTTGAGGCCGTTCTGGGGAGTAGTGCACTTTACCGGGCGCACTTTTTCAGATCCAATTAGCGCTGTGGGGGCTCGAACGCGCTTCGCCGGCTCACCTGCTCTGCTAATTAATGCGTTAATTAGCCGCGCTCTACCACTGGACCACAGGTGCTATTACATGTAATCAGTGCTCGTTTAACAGGTCATTAGAATCCCCATTGACATGCATGCGTAATTCAGTAAACAATGAATTGCGCATGCGTGTGACGTCACGGTCCGCTCTCCCATTCATCTTTTCTTGAAACCACACCCGCAATTGTTTATGTCAACATGACCGACCAATGGGATTAATTTGATTAACGCTTGAAAAGGTAAGAATTTATGGCTAACCCTTGCCCAAAGCCAGCTGACCCTAATGACCGAAAAGGGGTTTTGGATCGTAAAGACGTGAAAGTTTCCCTAAGACCGAAAACGGGTGTTGGATCGTAAAGACGTGTAAGTTTCCCTAAGACCGAAAAACGGGTGTTGGATCGTAAAGTTGTGTAAGTTTCCCTAAGACCTAGAACGGGTGTTTGATCGTAAAGATGTGTAAGTTTCCCTAAGACCGAGAACGGGTGTTTGATTGTAAAGATGTGTAAGTGTCCCTAAGACCGAAAAGGGGTGTTGGATCGTGAAGCGAGAGTCACCAGAGCGTGAGGCACGGTAACGGTATAACGAGACAGCGGTGGCACTATAGCGCGGTAATTGAGCGGATGGTAGAGCTCGGGCTGCGCCCGGTAAACTGCATTGTTGCCCCGTTCTGACCCGCTCCCAATTTACAAGCTAGCGTCTTCTTCTTGTAGGAAGTAACAGGCTCTTGGATAACTGTGAAATCATAGCTATGAAAATGCAACAGTCAAGTTTCCTGTCTTGGTCACTGTTACTTTTAGACTATGGTGTCAGAAAAAACTCCACTTGTTTATCATCATGATCATGTTCATGTTTTTTTGGTCCATAATATTAGACAAAATGCATTTCCATCAAAATATTGGATGAACCCATGGTAATTTTATTTTTTGACGAGAGGATATGAATAATTTCCCCAACATGTAATAATGTGCAGTATTGCGCACACTGACAGGGGTTGTAAAGTCATCTTCTTGTTGTAAATTGATGGTGGTTGTCCCTTGTCAAGGCTCTCTTTTCGTCAGTTTAATCATTTTTTGCTTTTGTGACAATTTGATAAGAGTGCCATTTTAGCTTTACCAGTTACACACATAAGTAAAATTTATATATGCCTGATGTTTGAGTACTCACCGAGATAGCTCTTTGCTATTGGGCCCAGCTGAACTTTTGCCATATAACTGCCAGATTAGAATCATGTATTCCTCTATGTCCGTGCCCACACTACCTTCAACTCTCCAAGTAACATAGTGACACTGTCATAGTGAAAATGTTGAATGGATTATTCATTGTTTTTTCTCTAGTGAACCGGGGTCACTTCCACAAAGCAGTCTTAGTAGTGTAATGCTGTAAAGCAGTGTTACAGGATGAAAGTTCAGTCATGTTGGCACAAAGATCGCCTTGTGGAACGGGGCCGGAACTGTTACGATGGGCAGTTGTTTGGCATTCAACAATATTCAAGCCCAATTTAGAGTATAATATAACTTAACATGTGAAGGTACCTATGTGATGACCCTGAGATTGACCCCGAAACCCAGCAGGCACAGGGATGTAACCCAAAAAACAGGACAGTTCCAGGTAGGTTCTTCATGTCAAGTACCATGTACAATACTCTGAGGTAGTATTTAAGTCGTTTTAAGGCAACATTTCCTAAATCCATATCCATATGTAATTATTGATCATTCTACCTGGGACACAACAGCAGTTTGTTGTAATGTAATAACACAAATACATTTACCGTATTCGACATAATAAGCGCCCTGCTCTAATAAGCACCCATGGCTAATATTTTGGCTAGTGAACAATCCCAATTAGCACCCCTTCCGATTGATCAATGTAACAAGACTTATTTATTCGTGTATAATACGCACTCGTGTGTTATATGCACCCTTAATTATTGGCAATAAAATTCTCAAAAAATATATCTGTCGTTTATAAACGTTTCAGGCTGTCAGTATAACCTTTCAACTCTGTTTTTTTCTTCACCAAAATAATATTCTAATAAGAGCCCCCTATTTCTAATTTTGAGAGCACCCTGGGCGCTTATTACATCAAATACGGTATGTCAATTCAGTAAAATGAAGTTTCATTTAATATGTGTAACATGTTTTCTTCATTGCTCACCCAAAGGAAATAAATGCCAACTGAACACCTGAAAATTGGATTTGGGTTTGGGGGTCTTTTTCTTGGAGGGGAAAGTTGTGACCCGACACATAGATCTTGATATCTACTTTCAAGAAATATCTTTACAAAATGATCAAGATTTCAGAATTTGTACTCATAGCATGATTAGGCAGAAGTTTCTAAACCTGTGAATTGAATTCTCCATGATGGTCTTTTTCAGTTACCTGTCGGCCAGCTGTAGACATCACTTGTATTCATAATGGCACTCCACGTAATAGCACCGTGGGTTTCAAGAAGGATGTCCCATGCAACTGGACGTAAGTTATCTTTGGCTCCATCACAAATCCCTGCATCATTCCATCTACACATAATCATGATAATCATGGTGTCAAATGTGGCATATGTTCTCTCAAGATGGTCATAGCAATCTTAAAGATTTACAGTTACACATTGTTGTCAAAAAGCATAAACATGTTGTGGTTACCAATGAAGAGCCGAGTTAGAATCAATCTTCAGCAATCCTTACTTCTTTTAAGCAGTGACTAACGGGATCAGATGGTTATTATGACTGGTTTGGTTGATGCATGTCATCGTGTCCCAACTGCGTGGATCGAGGCTCGTGATGTCAATCACAGGATTGTCTGGTCCAGAGTGGATTATTTACAGACCGCCGTCATATAGCTGGAATATTGCTGAGTGCGGTGTTGAACAACGAACACACAGATTGTAGGTACCTGTGATATTCTTCAACATGTTCAAGGAATCCAGACATACAAGTATGACCAGTGGTATTTATAAAGGCACAGCTAAAGGCATTTCTCATTTGTCAACAATGTCATCACTTGATCACATTGTGGACATACTACTCAAAAGTAGTTAAAGAATACGTGATTGTTTTTATGTGCTAAAGTTAATCTGTCATATGGCCATGACAGTTTAACTATAGTTATTTGAACCAATTGGGTGCACTTTAACTTATTTTGACTAGTATATATCAATAAAATGCCTTCAGCTCGCTGCTGAAACATTTTGCTGGAGAAAATAATACAGTGAATTCAAGTTCCTGTACATGTATGGTATGAAAACTAATACCGTATTCGACATAATAAGCGCCCCGCTCTAATAAGCACCCACAGCGATATTTGCTGATATATTGGCTAGTGAACAATCCCAATTAGCACCCGTTCCGATTGTTCAATGTATGCAAGACTTATTTATTCGCTTATAATACACACTTGTGTGTTATATGCACTCTTAATTATGGGCAATAAATTCTGGAAAAATATATCTGTCGTACATAAACATTTCAGGCTGTCACTATAAACCATGAAATTTATCTTTCAACTCTGTTTTTTTCCTCAACATAATATTCTAATAAGAGCCCCCTATTTCTAATTTTTAGAGCGCCCTGGGCGCTTATTACGTCGAATACGGTAATTGTAATAATGTGTTGAAATTATGCAAATGAAGATTGCATCATTACCATGATTACAACTGTTTCTGTCACAATCACATGATCAATCAAATCATATATCAATATCGATGAGAACGCCTCCATGTTCTAGTGGCAGAGCGTTCGCCTGAAGAGAGGAAGGTCTTGGGTTCGATCCCCGGCTGCGTTGTACTAAAAGGCATTAAATGATGGTTCTTGTTGTTACCCTGCCTGGCGCTCTGCATTCAGGGGCTAAAACATGGACTAGTCTGCTTGGAGTCAATATACTGTTTCTGAGTGGGGCATTTATGTTAAACTACAGCATGGTTTCTCAGTGAACTAGCGACCCGTGAAGATCCGGGGTAGAATAGGTCTTCAGCAGCCCATGCTTGATGTAAAAGGCGACTATGCCTGTCGTAAGACGTGACTAATGGGATCAGGTAGTCAGGCTTGCTGACTTGGTTGATTCATGTCATCGTATCCCAATTGCGTAGATTGATACTCATGATGTCAATGACTGGATTGTCTGGTCCAGACTCGATTATTTACAGACCTCCGTCATATTGCTGGAATATTGCTGAGTGCGGCGTTGAAAAACACGCAAACAAAACAAACAGTAGGTTTAATTTCTGGTTAGCACTACAAAATCGGCATTTGGACTATTACAAGCAGACAAACACAAACACGTATACACACGTTGCAATATGACTGCTGTAATCTTGGATCTGACATTAAACTCCATTTCACCTCAATGTCGATGAAATGCTCATGTCAAACTTTGTTGATACAGAAATGGACACAAGTTTGAGACTGCCCTCCTGTTGTCCATATTCCTGGGGATGTTTGGTATTGACAGGTTCTACCTTGGCTACCCAGCTATAGGTAAGCATTATCAAAACTTAGGGTCCAGTTAAAGAAGAAACAATCTGGGCAGCCTTTGGCTTGTGGATTTACTCAGACTAAGAACAATTCTCGGTTGTAACATACATTGGTAAACATGTTTCAATGTTTCTGAAACAAAAAAGAAAGTGAATTTTTTATAAGCCATACAAAAAGATTCAGAAAAGATAAAGGTACCATACTTTGGGCATGTCTAGCATTGATTAATATGTGCATTATTTTATATGGGGTTGTAATTGAGAGTTGACCTTAAAGCTAAATCAAATTTTACTGAATACCTTTCAAAATGTTAACGCAGCTTGATGTATGTAGAGTATGTATTTTCAAGCTACAGTAAACTACGGTTATAACGAACACGCTTATAACGAACTGACGGATATAACGAACTTACTTTTTAGTCCCGACTATTTGCTGTAGTTATGCTGTATATATGCTTATAACGAACTACGGTTATAACAAACTAAAAATAGTAGTCCCTTTGAGTTCGTTATAACCGTAGTTGACTGTATTTTATAAACTTGGGACTGCATAGTCAATATCAGACATATTAAACATGATATAAAACATGAGATAATAACTCATTGGCTGATTTAAGCTCTGTCACTGTAAGAACCAGCTACCTGTGGTTAAAATACTTGTTTCTCTTTTTTAATGAATGAGCCTCTTCAAAATGTATTAAAATCCCCCCATCCTAAAAAGGGAAGAGAAAAAAAGACTGTGTTCATCTGAAAATATGCTTTATACGAACCTTCATCACACATGACCAAATCACAAACAACATTGTGAAATTGTAACACACTTATTTATTTCAAAATAAACAAATTTTATTTATGATGCCTTATAGCCTTATACAATATATATTCCTGAGAACACTACATATGCAGCCTAATTTAAACTCCTACAAATCGTGTTTACAAATAAAAAACGTTTAATGAACTTCAATTCACGAAAAAAAATCTTGAACAGCTGCATGTGACCCTTTCCGCATCTGTGATGTACTTTTCAATTTCATATTATTACTTTCGTTTTCATAATAATTGGTTGGCACACATGGCCAAGTTGTCTAAGACTCCGCAATTTGCTGGGCAGAGTTGCTTCCCTTGGGCATGCCAGAAGCCTATGATTGCATTAAGCTGACACTCCATGATATATCTGGAAAATTATTAAAGGTGGTGTTAAACCCAACTCACTCACTTCCTTGATAATTGAGCAATAAACCAAGAACCACCCTTTTCACTTCCTGCATGCATTTTGTCATGTTGACCTTGAAATTTTTCTACAATATAATTTTTTTATTTCTGCATAACTGAGTAAAACTGAATTAAAATTTGCCCCCAAATCCTCAACCTGTTTGGGAACATATATATATATATATGTATCATATCATATATCATATCATATCATATCATATCATATCTCATATCATATCATATCATATCATATCATATCATATCATATCATATCATATCATATCATATCATATGACTGACAATTGATTAAGATAAAAGCACATTGGATGTGGTCCCTTCTGCTCTCTTACAATAGATATTTCAGCCGGTTATACCATGTGTATGTTTAGGACTTGTTGACAGTACATTATTTCAAATAGGAATTTGAACACTGTGTTGCTGCATTCCAGGCTTGGTGAAGTTTGCCACCCTGGGTTTTATGTTCCTGGGTCAGCTGATAGACATTCTGCTCATAGCAACACAGGTAAGTTCCCAGAGTGAGGAGGCTGCTACACAGGAAAGTACAGTTTTCCTCGATGATCGGGCAGCATGTTGAGTGGAAATTAAAATAATTTCCTCCTTTTTTTTCAAACGCAAATCTATTTGTTGATAACACTAGTGTGTTTGTTGGGATTTTTATCGCAAACAGATTTCTGTCACATGCATTTAGCATGTTTAGCATGTTTAGAAACTGTATATATACACTGTACATATAACATTTGGAAAGGGATTAATTGTCTGGAAGCTGTACGGTTTATTAAACCTACTTTCATTAAGATGTGTATTTAATTTAAGAATTTTGTTTTTACCTGATGTTAATAAGTAGTTTTTAGCTCACCTAAACGTAATGTTTTAAGTGAGCTCTAAGTTATGTCTTGCTCCATCGTAAAGGTTTACATTTTTGACTTCATCTCTAAATATAAGTTAGTAGAATGCTTTTTGTCAGTAATTATTAGAAGAAACACATTGTACAGAGTAGGAACAAAGTAACTTTTGTTTACATTGATCATGTTAATAATTACATGTTTACTGTGCTAAGTGCACTTCTACTATCTAGACTATCTGCTAATATGATAATCATGGTCGGTAGGTATTAAAAAAGATGAGTTTTTTTTGTGTATGCTAGTTTGTTGGTCATAGAGAGGTTAGCTTTTGTTAGGACAGGCATGAAAACAATTTGTGATATATTTTATTGCTAAGTAGGGATTTGGGGGTAGACTTATTGCTAAGCAGGGGCGTTGGGGTAGCCTTGTGATTAACACGTTTGCTCATTATGCCAGGGACCCGGGTTCGATTCCAAATAGGGTACAATGTTTGAAATCCATTTCTGGTGTCATGATATAGCTTGAATATTGCTAAAAATGGCGTAAAACAATACTTACTCACTCACTCAGCCTCGGCAGTAATAAAAAAAAAACACACTTAATTGAGAATTATTTCTTTTTCTGTTTGCCTCATAAAAGTAAGTAATAGTCAGATCTTGACATTTAAGGAGCTTTCCAAATCTAGAACGCTTTCCCAACATTGTAACAACCTTAAAATAAGGCAAAAACAAATTATATTTTTATTTTTTTGTTTTTAATTATTGTGTTTTATATTTTGCAAGAGGAGCTTATGGACATATTATTATATTCTAATACTAATATATAAGACAAAATACCTCTGAAACATTTTATTTAATATAAACTCATTTTTGTTACAAAAGTATGCTGCACATGCCCTGTGTATCAGGCTGTTTAGTGAACATGTCAACTTGTGTGCAGGTAGTGAAGCCCTCGGACGGGTCAGAGTATGTGATAGACTACTACGGCGCAGCAACCACGCGGGTGATGATGGACAATGAAACCCGGCTCCGTGTACAGATAGATGGAGGCTTATGATGGAAGACCTTGAGATCACACAACTGATGAGGCCCCCAGTACCTCATGCTTGCAGTAGGGTGGTTGGAATGAAAAAATTTGAAAATCTGCTTAAATACTGTATTTCTAATGAAGAGCCGGGATTTTATTAATTTCAGTTGACGTCAGACCCAGCCAATATTTGAGTCATCTCTTATAGACTGGACTCTTATTCCTTTTGTAACTGGGATGAGAACGTCGGCTTTGTTCAGTATACTTTATGGTATTCAGTGTCATGAGGAGAAATCATTAGCTGCAGATGACCAGGCCAGGCCTTTATAAGAACTCCAGTCTCATTCCAAAACCTTCCTCCGAGATGCAGCCCTTTATAGAGCTCGGCTCATAATAGATAGCAGGTACTTGATAGAGACCAGGCTCTTCTTAGAGGTCGGCTCTTTATAGAGATCAGGCTCTTCTTAGAGGTCGGCTCTTTACAGAGATCAGGTTCTTCTTAGAGGTTGGCTCTTTACAGAGATCAGGCTCTTCTTAGAGGTCGGCTCTTTACAGAGATCAGGCTCTTCTTAGAGGTCGGCTCTTTATAGAGATCAGGCTCTTCTTAGAGGTCGGCTCTTTACAGAGATCAGGTTCTTCTTAGAGGTTGGCTCTTTATAGAGATCAGGCTCTTCTTAGAGGTCGGCTCTTTATAGAGATCAGGCTCTTCTTAGAGGTCGGCTCTTTACAGAGATCAGGCTCTTCTTAGAGGTCGGCTCTTTATAGAGATCAGGCTCTTCTTAGAGGTCGGCTCTTTATAGAGATCAGGCTCTTCTTAGAGGTCGGCTCTTTACAGAGATCAGGCTCTTCTTAGAGGTCGGCTCTTTATAGAGATCAGGCTCTTCTTAGAGGTCGGCTCTTTATAGAGATCAGGCTCTTCTTAGAGGTCGGCTCTTTATAGAGATCAGGCTCTTCTTAGAGGTTGGCTCTTTATAGAGATCAGGCTCTTCTTAGAGGTTGGCTCTTTATAGATATCAGGCTCTTCTTAGAGGTCAGCTCTTTATAGAGATAGGTTCTTCGTAGAGGTCTGCTTATTAAAGAGATCACGATCTTCTTAGAGGTCGGCTTTTTATAGAGATCAGGCTCTTCTTAGAGGTCGGCTCTTTATAGAGATCAGGCTCTTCTTAGAGGTCAGCTCTTTAAGAACTCCAGCTTTTATTAAAAAACCTTACTCTGAGATGCGGCCCTTGATGAGATCGGCCCTTTATTGAAATCAGGCTCTTCTTAGAGGTTGGCTCTTTACAGAGATCAGGCTCTTCTTAGAGGTTGGCTCTTTACAGAGATCAGGTTCTTCTAAGAGGTCAGCTCTTTATAGAAATCAGCTGTTTATTGAAATCAGGCTCTTCTTAGAGGGAATACAGTAAGAGTAGGGATACATGTAGTACTCGTGACCAGCTGGTATAACCACCTCTCAGTTTGGCTGATGGTGTGTCATGGTACATCGCCCCCACAATTAGTAGTTGGCTTGCCTGGTACTGAGATAGCTACCTCCAAAGCCGAGTACTGGTTTACACTCTAATATGATTAGTATGGATCTCCAAAAATCTTTAAGCTTGATACTGATAGCTATACAATCTCATTAAAATCAAATCTTTGTACTTGCTACCGCTAAACAAAGACCTGAGGACATCCCATTAGGGGTCACGTCAGAACGTCCTTTCATCTGACCAATCAGAGCGTCGCTTACCAGATCATGAAAGTGACAGTCGGAACGTGTAATCATGTAACCACGAAATATTTGACACTGGGTATTCGGAACGACAGTTACAGGTTTTATGATTACATCCATACAATCTAGGCCATCTATAAGCCATTCAGAGTGTTCTTTTATCAGTTTTTTAATTTTTTTTAATTGAGAATACGTCAAAATATGTTTCGAAGCGTAGTCGCCAGTTTGAAACTAGTGTCGTATAGCTCGAGAAAGCTGCCTTCTGATTGGCTAATGTCGATTTCTTGTCAGTCATTTCATTGGTCGGTCAAAATTCGAGAAAGGTCGTTCTGACGGGACCCATAATGGGATGTCCTCAGATCTTTGTTTAGCGGTAGCGAGAACTAAGATCTGATTTTAATGAGATTGATAGCTAAAAGGTCTTATAATGGTATTCAATACTTGCTAAAATTATCAAGTACACCCAGAAATCTAGAAAGAAGTCTGTATATCACCGAATTGGACTCAAGTACGTTAAGTTAGGTCTATGTAAAACCACATAGAGGGTATGTCCGCACCAAGAACAGTAGAAATGAAGTTTTACAATCCTTTGATTAATCATGTTAACATTATTTTTATTGCTTTCTTTGAATATCAGTCTGATTAGCACTGCTATGAATTGTAATGTTTGCTCTTCAGAAAACTTTGTATATAAAAAAAATTGGTCGCCTAGTAAGTCAATAAACAAACTTATGGGTTAAAATGGTTATTTATGAAGAAAAACATATTTTCCTGTTTTTCATATTGAATGTGATTATAAGACTATAAGACTTCATTTGTAGTTCTTAAAAAAAGTTGTTAAATTAAAACTTTAATAAAGCTAGCAGGTTGGTGGTGAAATAATATCTTTTACATTTGCAAAATATTTGGAAATTCCTCAGCATTTTCAAAAAACGACCCATAAAACAATCGTTAAATTGCTTGCCCTTAGTACATGTTTGAAGAAAAAACTGAAGGACCGTGAAACCCTGCTAGTCTGATGACCTTACCTTCAAGATGTTTACATTTAGGAAAGCCAACATGTAAACAAAGGGACATTGATCTGGCCATGCATCGCCCGGAAACCGACTCTGAGAAGGATGCCATCCACAGTCACTCATTCAGATCCTGAAACAAAAATAGCCACAATCTCTTAAGCAAGCCTACATTACTTTGAGAAGAAGTGAAGATTTTGTTCGTTTCTGAAAATTATGAGATTCTCTCTGCTTCATTTCAATTTATATCTCAAGATAATTTTGCTACAAAAATCTTAAAATACAGTCCAACCTCGTTGTGTCAACTCACGGGGACCTAGAAAAATAGGTTGAGTTATCCGTGGTTCGAGACACCAGGAATTTTACTACTAAGTTGTATACTTTGGTCTCCCAAATGACTTTGATACAAGGGCAATTGGACCGCAGGAGTCCGTATCTAAAAATAGACGCCCTCATGCATATTCATGACCATCTCCACACTGTGGAGATGGTCATGAATATGCATGAGGGCGTCTATTTTTAGATACGGACTCCTGTGATTGGACACATCCAAGTTCAACACGAGCTTCAACTTTAGCTACAATTCAGAGAGTAAATGGTAGTCTTTTCCATACTTTGTAATAGTTTTATTGTATTTGTTTTCCAATTAAATTTATGTCTTAATTAACAAATCATATACTACTCAAAAGAAGTTAAAGAACACCCGATTTAGCCAGGTTTTGATTAACTATAGTTATATGAAAGAAAATGGGTGTTCTTTAACTTCTTTTGAGTATCGATATCAATAAAATCCTTCTCTTTATGTAAATACTCATTGTCCATGTACGTTTGACCATTCTGTTCATCGTCCTACACTACATCTTCATCTTCATCTTGTGACAAATTGTAAATAAAGAGTTTGTACTGTACCTCTCAAGTCTTGAGTTTTACATTCATGAGAAAAATGTACAGTTCACATGACCAGACAAAAAGTGATTTGTGAACGGACAGTAAATAGGCTTTGTTTGTTTGTTTGTTTTGTTTGTTTAACACCCACACTCAGCAATATTCCAGCTATATGACATTGGTCTGTAAATAATCAAGTCTGGACCAGACAATCCAGAGATTGATATCATGAGCATTGATCTACGCAACTGGGATACGATTGTTTGATTGTTTTGTTTGTTTGTTTGTTTTACACCCGCACTCAGCAATATTCCAGCTATATGACATTGGTCTGTAAACAACCAAGTCTGGACCAGACAATCCAGAGATTGATATCATGAGCATTGATCTACGCAACTGGGATACGATTGTTTGATTGTTTTGTTTGTTTGTTTGTTTTACACCCGCACTCGGCAATATTCCAGCTATATGACAGTGATCTGCAAATAATCGTGTCTGGACCAGACAATCCAGAGATTGATATCATGAGCATTGATCTACGCAACTGGGATACGATGACATTAATCAACCAAGTCAGCGAGCCTGATCCCCTCAGTCACCTCTTACGGCAAGCATGGGTTGCTGAAGACCTATTCTAACCTGGATCTTCATGGGTCACAATAAATATAACAACTATTGATGAAATAGGTATAAAACAGTTCATGACTGATAGACAATTGAACTTTGCTGTATTAAGGGGTCAAAGGCCACAGAGCAATGACCATATGCAGATAAAAATATCCAAGAGTTCACAATAACCATGAAAACCAACATTTCCCTGAAATTGTTGATGGTAGAGTTAGGTAGTTCATTAGATATTAATATTGGAAATTGATTTGAAAATCATTTGTAGGAGTTCTTTGTGTTTGTTTATTGTTTAATGCTGCACCTCAATATTACAGCTATATGCCAGTGGTCTGTAAGTAATTGAGTTTGGATCAAATAATCCAGTGATTGATATCGTGAGCGTCTATCTACGCAATTGGCATATGATGACGTGCATCAACCAAGTCAGCGAGCTTGACCACCCGATCCCTTAAGTGTCCTCTCACGACAAGAGAGAATGCTGAAGATAGATTCTAAATCAGGATCTTCGCTGGTCAATGGATTCATGATTTATAATGGGCTGGAAGATATAACAATCTTGTCTGGAAATGTGTTCATTGTTATAATTCATGTAAATAATTGCACCTAGTTTCTGGAGGACAACATCTGAATTGATACCAACTGTCTTACTCCAGAATCACTTCACATGCAGAGGGCAAGGGTCCTCTAAGTTGCATCCTTGGGCTCGCCAGAAACTAGGATCGTGGGTTTGAACCCGGTTTGCCCTGATTATGTTCATAGGTTTGTCAGATCCATACTCGTCCTGGCTTGAGAGTTACACCAAAGTGATAAACGTCTAAGACATGCATCACTTCTGGCTTACCTCCAACATCAAGCTGACACGCCGTGATATAACTGGAATACTGCTCGAAGCGGCCTTAAACCCAACTCACTCACTCACTCACCCACTCATTCTAACCGACGAGTTCGGTTTATGGCGGTTTTTACTAGTATTCCAGTTATCTCACAGAGTATCAGCTTGGTGTTGAAAAAAAGCAAGAAGTGATGCATGTCTTTGTTTACCAGTGTTGTGAAACCCATGTGCACAGGTAACCTAACCTAGCTAGGGAAGGGCGAATCCGAGATTCGAACCACGGTCATAGGTCTCTGACACACCAAAGGGACGTAATTCCGTAATTCGGGGACGTGATTGCAGCCGTGCCGAAAGGATATCAGATGGGTTGTATATAAACAGAAATCAAATTAGGAAGTCGGGAAAATGTATCACTGAAAGACCTTTAAAGACCGGGTGATGATACGAACAGCCTGCACACGTCTGAAGGGCGTTCCTGTCAAAGGAAATACACATTGCCAACTTTCCAAAAGCCGCAGAAAGTTAATCTTTCAAAGTTAAACTGAAAGAGCTGTTGTGTGAAGCTTATCTCCAGTAGATGGGTTGTAATGCATCAACGATAGCACTGTCTCTGGTTTATTCTATTGAACAAGTTCTGTGTCAAAAGTATGGATCGTGTCTTCATGAAATTAAACCCATCGTATCTTGCGTACATTCTTATTTCTTTATGACATACACGTTCTTGAATATACCATAGCTTCTTTGTCTGTGCAGTAACTAACCGAATTGTCAGTTCAACACCACTTGGCAATGACGGAACTACTTATTTCCTTATCATTTCTCTTTACAGAAGAATTTCATGAAAACCGTGTCGCCAGCGGGATTCGAACC